CGTGGAAGTGGCGGGAAGGGAGGTTCTCACCACGGGCTCGTTGATGGTGAGGGAGGGAGAGATGGAAGAGGGGAGAGATGGTAGAGGAAGGGAGTGGGATTCGTGGTGTGCTTCGTTGGGGTCGGGGGGGGAGGGGGGAGGGGGCGTTCTGGGTATGTGATCAGTCATGGGAGGGGACGTTCTCATATTGCGGGTCATTGATGTGGCGGATCGGTTGTCGTAGAGGTGTTTCATGAACCATTCCTTGTTTTTTTGTTTTTTTTTCGGAAATGGACAATCTATGTTGTCATCTCTTAAAGCGAACATCTAATTGGTCAATGTTATTCATGAAGTTTACAACTTTGTGGTGCTTGCTTTTTTCTGGTTTCATTCGAATTTCTATATGTCATGGTAAGGGGGATGGAAAGGGGTAAGGGCTGTTTCTTGAACCGATGGATGATCACAAAGTGAGGGATGTTCATAGCAGGCTTTGGGAACTCGATACAAACAATGACGACATTGCAAATGTAAAAAGGACTGAAGGCAATAGACATGACACACATAACGTTGTGCAAATATTGTCGTTTCAATCGGCGTCAAATAAGAGGACAAGCCACGCAACAGAAATAAGTGACATGAAATGTTGTTAAATTGTTGTGACTTGCAGTAAAAGCAGAAAACGACACACTTCGGAAAAAAATATAGCGTTCATGGCAACTTCAATCCCAACTTCAGGAAAACAGAACACACACCGCCGGATTAGACTCCGTCACCCAGACACGTCACCCGCAGTGACAGCATACTACATGAGAACTACGATTGGCAGGTGCACACGCATGACGTCGCCCCCGCCGACGATGCGCTCGACTGAGGTATCGCCATCCACACGTGCCGCCAACACTCTCCTCGTGGCCGTACATTTCGGAAGAACATCAAACTAAACTGCCCACACACGCCGCCTCATGCACGCCAACCCAAATGCGAAACGGCGACCGCGCCATGAACTCCCCAGTTCCACAAAACGGGGCAACACACACAACAACGTCAACGCAGATGACCACCCCTTCAAGGATACAACGCCTCCCGCCGTGGACAAAACCATAACCCAACGTCACCAGATCAGAGGCCAGCAATATCGTGACGACACACTACCGCCAGTGGAAGGGGGAACTAACCACCCGTTCATGCATGACACACAAACTCTTCGCCTGCTCCCCGCGTCATCTGCTCCGATTTCTCGCCGCGGCCATGTCATCGCAGTCACCCGCTCCGCACGCCTGCATGTCTTTACTGCGCACCCATTCGCTTCGCCAGTGCGTCCCGCAGAATCAGCGCATCCCCCGTCGACAACTCCATACACATCGGCCTCAAGGGCCGCTCGATCCCAAGATCCACCTTGCGACGCATACCGTCCGCCCCGACCTCCCACAGTAGATTATTGTCGAAGGGGATGCCCACGTCGATGAGTATGTTGTGCAGAATGCACACGGTGACGAACTGTTGCAGCAACGTGTCCATGTTCGTCTTGTGGGAGCGCAGGAACAACCTCCACATCCCCTTCAGTCTCCTGAAAGCTCTCTCAACTGCTCACCGCGCCGTCTTCTGTTTGTTGTCGAAGCGCAGCTCCGACGGGTGTTGTGCGAGACGGCCATAGGGGACGACTACCCATTCGGAGGGGGAATAACCATTGTCGCCCAGCAAATACCCGTTCGTCTGCACACCGAATGGCAGCATGACAGGTGGCCCAGTGAAAAGTTCCCCTGCCTCTGCACACGCCCATAAACTCAATAGGTGGACGATCCTCAAGTCATGGCAACTTCCTGGATAATTGACGAACACGTCCAGCACACGCAAGTTCAGATCCACGACCACCTGCGCCTGGACGGAGAAACAATGTTTTCTATCGTAGTAGTCCTCCCTGGGGCAATTCGCTGGTTTGTCGATGAAGATGTGGGTGCAGTCGATGCACCCATGGCAGTAAGGGAAACCCTTGTCGGCGAAAGCGCGCAAGACGACCGGCTTCTGCAGCCCTGTCGGCCACGATATCTTGTTGGAGTACGCACTCAGCAACGCCTCAGTTACATCCCACGCAGCCACCAACCCAGAAGATCTGCCAATGTCGAAGCCGCATGTCCCGCTCTCGTACATCTCCCCCGACGCCCACCTATACAAAGCGTACGCAACAATGTGATCAGGCAAAAGGGGCTCCCTATAGAAAGTGACACGTCGTTGAAGGAAGTGTGGCAGAGCTTCCGCGATCTCTCCGGACACACGTGGCGACATGCGCAGCTTCTCCTTACAGTAGTCGGATGTCGCGTCGTCGCAATGCCGCAGATCCTCCCACGCCCCCCCCATCCGTCGCTTCATCCACCACCTGGGCGTCGCTCTGGGAAAAGCTCCACAACACATGGCGTAGCACACCTGCAGCACAGCATCGCAAATGGCAACAGTGTTCCTCTCCGTCGTGCTCAGTGTGTCACGGCCCCCCTCCCCGTTCTTGTCCATGGCCGAAACTGGTACTGTCGACATGGACGCCGCCAAGTACAGAAGACTCCAAGAGTGTCGGGGCGCACTACAGCGATGGTGCGAGTGACGACCGGAGTGCACGGCGTAGACGTCGATGACGAAGGTATGCCTGCGAAGACGACAACAGTGCGATCTTGTGACGGCGTGTCTGCTGGTTCCGATGTGCACAGTGTCTGCTGGTTCCGATGTGCACATGTACGTTCGACGTGCCCGTCGACATGCAGCCGCCACCCCGTACCCAAACGCTTCCGCCGAGGAGCGTTGTTGTCGTTAGCCGCAAGGGTCGCCCACGCTGCCGTCACTCGCTTGCCGGATTTCGAATTTCGAAATTCGGATCCGGGATTGCGCATCTTTTCCAATGCCATGTTTTTTTTTGAACGCCGCCGACTTTTGAATTTGCGACGCCCACTCGAGCTGGACCAACGACATCGGCACGGATACACCTGCTGGACCAACCTCGCCCCCCCCGCCACATCCGCTTATCGACATATTAAACTGGTCGTGGAAGCCCCCGAGGAATCGTCCTCGGGGAACCGTTCCAAGGATGAGTGAAACGACGGCGCTAATTTCCTCGGGCGATGATGGGAAAATTTCCTCGGGCCTCGAGGACGACCCGAGGAGTGTCGAACGAGCCCCAAAGTCCTATCTGTCGTCAATCTGCTTTGAATTTCAGCATCTCTGCATGAAACACATCCCAGATTCAGGTGCTGAATCCAATCCTTTTGGCTATTGGGACCTTGCCCCAATTGTCCCAATGAGTGGGTCATCTGTGACACCCAACTTCACACCCTGCACAACTTGCTAATCGGAGTGGGTGTAGGCCTTGGAGTGTGAGATAGAGGGTGTGCCAAGGATTTTAGGAAAGTGGGGATGGAGTCCCTGGTCGAAACTGGGATCTCCAATGTCAAGGTCCCAAAGACAAAGCAGAGTTGGCCCAATCACAGATGGCCTGCGGGCAATTAGATTGTAGAGGCATGGGTCGGGCTGGGCCCGATTCAAACCCGTCGCCGACGTCGGTTCCCCGGACGATGCACTTCGGGAAGACAGTGGGGGTCTCCTTGCTCGTACACGTGGCGCCTACGGGACTCGCAGAGTTCAGAATCTGATGTCGAGGGCCTCCGTCGAAGGCTCCTCTCTTAGATCTCTTCTTCACTGAGAGTTCGGTAAGAAAACCTTTATGACCGATACTCGCAATCCCGTCGACACTCAGAACACACGTAAAGTGGACAGTACAAGGCGACAACCAGCCATGGGATGACCGTCAATTGGCGATAGGGGAGGAGAGTAAAGAAGGTGGGTACTTAGTATCGACAACGATCACTCTGGGCTTGAGGTATTCTTGATGGCGTCTGCAATCCAGGAACAGAGTGGGACAAGGAGAGGAAGCAAGAGCTTGTTGAAGGTCCCACTTGCGGAGTCTTTCCTCACCTGTTTGAAAGGGGAAGTGGGGGGATCTAACCTGCGAAACCGGGATAGGATGGCAGTATGGAGGGCCATCAAGCAAACCTGTTCAGTGGCTTTGAACGAGCAGCACAACTCCAACTCCATTGCGCTCATCCAATGTCAGCTTGAACGTCATAGCCAACTCGAAACATTTGACCAGCAGAGGGAAAAGGAACTAAAAATTCAAATGCATCTTCGACATACATCTACTCCTGCATCATATACATGAATCAAAGACAATTTCTAATCCACGACCTTACGTAGCGATGGTTCAAACTTCCTCGAAGAAAACAGGCCGAAAAATTGAGATCACGCCCATCAAGGACCGAGCCATCAAACACACAAAAGACCAATTATGTATAGAGCAACCCAAGAAAGTTGTCGCATTTTGTTGACTCGCAACACTCATCAAATGCACAGACCGACACGACCTGGATCACTCTTTTACGCATAGGAAAGGGGCGTACATTCATCCAGATGCACACATACATGCATTCTCATAACAAATATCAAAGTGAGTTGGAGGGAGAAGAGAGACGACAGTGAGACGAAGAGAGCAGGAAGGCAAAGCCAGACAACAAAATTTTCAAAGTCTGACTTGGAAAAATAAAAAAATCCAAAATGCAACTCGTTTACCACATTCTCCCCGCCCCTCGTCACCATTCACTTCAACACTCCATATTGACAGTCTGTTGCCTCACGCCCACAGACTACTCGGATTAGACATACCTCGTAGTAGTCCAACTAAGCGAGTCAGGTTCGCACGTGCCCCGCAATCCGTTGCGGCCATACGTCAACCAACACAATTGTCACCAGGCCGTCGTATCGCCCAGCTCTGCACTTACCTCTTACAATAGCAGCACTTGTTAGCCGATCCTCTCAATCACGCTGACTCTAAAGTTTAGATCAGAGAGAGAATGCTCGCGAGAATGTCTGCGCGAGATAACCAGGATGAGACAAAAAGAACGAAGAGAAGAGAAGGGAGTACCTACGATCTGCATACCAGAGTGCGTCGTGGGGAACTTAGCCACAGTCCATGCATCGATCCCGATGAGCATCATCTTGGCCAATGAGAACGAACAACAGGTAGGAGAATGCATAGGCCCCCAAAAAAGGTAGAGCGGAGAAAATGCAGTTACAGAAGAGGGATTGAGAAAGAAGAGTGGAGGGATTCACAGTTGAGATCATAAATGAACCGCGGTGGGAAAAGACCGTAGCAAAGTGTGCGCGAGCAAGAAGAAGCGTTGAGTTATACTCGCGGCCACACAAAATGCAGCGAGTTCAAAATTGATGCTAATTAAAGTCCTGATTTCGCAACAAAAATTTCGATTAGAGGTGCGGAGAGCCGCATAGCCTACAAAAATTGAAAATTCGTAAATTCAACCCCGTGAGAAGATCGTGCTAAAAGCTCCTTCTTGCTATTCTTAAAAATTGAAGAAAAAGGGGGGGAAATGCACATCAACATTTTTATTTGTGCACTCTAAGACGCGTCCTTACTGTCAAACACCCAGACACAAGAACAAAATTTGTGAAAATGTCCTACCTAATCTGCAAATTCGGTCCAAAATGCATTTTACAAAATTGAAAACATTAAAGCGGCAGCAGAAGAATTAGCCTCGTAATCATACATGGACCCGATTCAGGCCTACCATCAAAAGGATTACGAGGCGGTTTCCAATTCGTCTTGCTTTTGTTGTAACGATTAACAAGTCATGAGGACAAACGGTCTCGTGTGCAGGGTTTTTGCTATGGAAGTTTGTTTTTGCGCATGGTCAACTGTACTTTGCTCTATCGCGTGTTAGGCATCCCAACAACATTCGTATTGTAGTACCTAATAACAACTTCTTTACAAAGAATACTGTGTATCACAACTTGTTCTTAATTACGCATTATATTTATTTGATTTGTTCGGGAAATTCTCATAATTTTGATTGACTTGTTTTTATTTTTTCTCTTCAGGCGAGTCTGATCTTCACCATACCTTTGCGTTGTCGCGCATTCAATGAACACGTATTTCGTGTTCGTGTTTTGAACGTGGTGAACGCTCGTTCAATGAATGCGACTAAATGCATTTGACGTATTCGCACAAGCCCCCAAACGTCTCACGGAAATGTTCCTGGCACGGGGGTGAGGGTCCAACACTGAGAACAAGTAAGTCTCCAACCTCGCGGTGGTCTCATGGTACTTTCATCGATAGGATAAGCAAATCGACTCAATCTACTGTGACCCCTAGAACATAGAAATATACACTACCATACTTGTTGTTTGTGTG